ACTACTTACCATGTACGTTCTGCCCTGGTGTGCCTTACCAAAATGCAACATCTCGAATTTATCCAAATTAAATTCCATTTGCCATTCGTTCTCCACTTGCCCAGTTGATCAAGATCCCATTGTACTCTTAGATAAGCTTCTTCACTGTCCACAATACCACCAATGTTGGTGTTCTCCACAAACTTACTAACCATATCTCCTATATTCTCATCCAAATTGGTCTTATAAATGACAAACAGTGGACCCAGCACCGATACTTGAGGCACACTGCTGGTCACAACTGTCAAGCCAATTTTGTATCCAGCTAGCAAGCTGTCCCTGCATCCCATGTGATCTAACCTTACTAAACAGACTACTATGCGGAACCTTTTTGAAGGCCTTGAAGTCCATGTAGACAATGTCTACCACTCTGCCATTATTAGTCTTCTTTGTCGCCTCTTCAAAACATTCAATCAAGTTTGTGAGACATGACCAACCACACACAAAGCCATGTTGACCTTCTGTATTCATTGTTGCTTTTCCAAATGCACGTAGATTCTTGCTCTCAGAATCCTCTCCAACAACTTACCCATCACCGACGTCAGGCTCACTGCTCTGCAGTTCCCTGGCTTTTCCTTGCAGCCTTTCTTAAATAATGGCACAAGAGTAACCACCCTCCAGTCTTCTGGTACCTTACTTGTGGCCATCAATTATACAAATTTCTCAGCTCGGGGCTCACAATTTCTTCCCTTGCTTCCCACAATATCCAGTGCACTTAATCATGTCCCAGTGATTTATCTATGTAATGCATTTTAAAATCTCAAGCACCTCCTCTTCTGGAATATGAACCCTTTTCACTATGTATTCTCCACGTTCTCTAGCTGCCACATCCTTCCCAGAATAAACACTGATACAAGTTACTCATTTATTATCTCACCCATGTTCTGTGGTTCTACACATAGATGGCCTTGTTGATCTTTAAAGGGCCCTATTTTCTCCCTAATTACTCTTTTGTTCTTATTATATTTGGAGAATATCTTTGGATTTTCCTTTGCTTTATCTGCCAAAGCTATCTCATCTTCCCTTTTTGCCTTCCTGATTTCCCTCTTAAGTGTATTCCCACACACCCTATACTCCTCAAGGGATTCACTTGATTCCAGCTGTCTATACCGGGCATATGTCTCCTTTTTCTTGACCAGAGCCTCAGTATCTCTAGTCATCCAGTGTACCCTATTCCTGCCAGCCTTGCCCTTCACACTAACAGGACAATGCTGTCCCTGAACTCTCATCTCACTTTTGAAAGCCTCCCACTTGCCAAATGCGCCTTTACCTGCGAACAGCCTCCCCCAAACAACTTAAAACATAGAATAGAATAGAATAGAACATAGAACATTTGAAAATTTCTGTCTAATACTGATAAAATTGGCCTTGGCCTAATTTAGACCTTTAACTTGTGGACTAGGTCTATCCTTTTCCATAACTATTTTAAAACTAATAGAATTATGGTCATTGGTCCCAAAGTGCTCTCCTACTACTACCACAGTCACTTGCCCTACCTTATTTCCCAAAAAGAGATCAAGATTTGCCCTTGTCTAGTCGGGCCCTCTACATACATACTTAACAAATTGCTCCCCATCCAAGCCTTTAACTCCACGGCAGTCCTAGTCACTGTTTGGAAAGTTAAAATCCTCCATTATTACAACCCTATTATTCTTACAGGTACCTGCGATCTCCTTCCATATTTGCTCCTCAATTTCCCACTGACTATTGGTGGGCGGGGGGAGGTGGCGGCGGCGGAAGGGTTCTATAGTACAAAGTGATCATCCCCTTTGTATTTCCCAGTTCCATCCATATAGCTTCATTGGACGATCCCCAAGGAACATCCTCTCTAAGACCTGCCATGACGTTTTACCTAATCAAAAGCACCACACCCCCTCCTCTCTTGCCTTTCCTCTATCCTTCCTATTGCATCTATACCCCGGAACATTGAGCTGCCAGTTCTGTCCCTCCCTCAGCCATGTTTCTGTAATGATATATTTTATGATATCAGAGTCCCATGTTCCCCTGAGTTCATCTGCCTTACCCTATTAGGCCTCTTGCATTGAAATAATGCAATTTAGTTCATCGGTCTTCCCTCATTTCCTGTTGTGCTCTTGCCGTTTGTCTACTTAACTTGCTCTCTTTAACTTCTGTACCAGCCTTCACCTTCTTTCGTTTTACTACTGCTTAGGGTTCCATCCCCCTGCTAGCCTAGTTTAAACTGTCCTGAATAGCTCTAGCCAATCTCCCCACCAGGATATCAGTATCGGAGGCTGGTACAGAAGTTAAAAAGAACAAGTTAAATAGATAAGGCAGGCAAAACTGTCAAATGTACATTAATCTCTTTTGTCTGTGCAATTTAATGTCACTCCCATATTTAATAATCACCAAATGTTATTAGTGTTCATGTTTCTGTTACAGAAACTAACTTGCAAAACCTATGATAGATGCTAAGAACTCTCAAGATTGATGTAGTCTTGTGACAAATTGTTGAACTTATTTTCCAGCAGACATGCTATCACAGAATGAATTATCTTGGCCATCAAATTTCAACCAGTGATGTCCACATGTTAGTCTGTCCAGTTACCTAACTAATGGAAGTTTTCATTTTGGAATTCCTCAAATACTCTCTGTATTTTCAAAACAGGAGCTTTGATAAGTAGCCTGTCATATAGCATGACTGCATCATGCCTGGAATGTGCTTGCAGCTGTGCTGTCAAATTTGGTGCACACAGGAAGCAGTTAGGTGTTGCTGAGATATAAGCTTTCAATGGCTCCATTCCGAAAGGCAAGTAACATTTTACTGTTAATTTTGAAAACTGATTTTTTTGGGGACATAGCTATAAAATATGAATTATATACGTAAAAATTTATTAGCATATTCTGTGCACAACATGCCCAGCTTTCATTTTCTTGAAAAATTGTTTGACAATCATTTTCATTAATGTCTTGCCCTTTAAGAATTCAAATAAGTGACCATTGTAGTATTATGCATTATTCCTTCAGGAAAGCACAACATTATGTGGAGAAAGCAGAGTAGTATATGGGTGGAAGAAATTTAGTGTATACAGTATAGCACAGTCCTAAAAATTTAAGGTCACAGACATGAGTAATTAGATCAGTGCATGGGGGATCTATTCCTTTTATAAAAAACTTCTGTTGTCATTTTGCAAGTGTTAATCTTTATATATGCTTATTTCATTACAATTTCTGCTGACTGAGACCAACTATCTCACTTATAATGATTGGAGGGACTGTTTGTTGACCGATGAATCTATGTTTAAAGCAGGGAATGACACTGAATAAATATTAATGAACTACCTTTCGCTTTTAGTTGTAAAATATATTTCCAACGACAAGGCTCTTCATGTTATACAACAGTGTGCAGCCAACACTGAGCAAATAAATTGTTTGTAGTTAGCAGAAGTTGGAAAAGAACTGAAAACGCATGCACTGCACAAGCGAACCCTATGACCAGCACTCAAATGAAAATTGGGAGCAGTCGGCAAATTTGCCCCCCAAATCCTCTAAATGCCTGGGAAAATGCAATCAGAGGGACAACCAGAGAAAAGTCATTCCTATATAATGGCAGCACAGTGGCTCAGTGGTTAGCACTGCTGCTTCACAGCGCCAGAGACGCAGGTTAAATTCCACCGTCAGGCGACTATCTGTGTGGAGTTTGCACATGCTCCAGTTTCTTCCTACAGTCCAAAGACATGCAGGTTAGGTGGACTGGCCATGCTAAATTGCCCACAGTGCCCAGGGATGTGCAGGCTATGTGAATTAGCCACGGGAAATGCAGGGTTAGAGGTAGGGGAGATTGGTCTGGGTCGGATGCTCTTCACAGGGTTGGCGTGGACTCAATGGGCCAAATAGCCTGCTTCCATGCTGTAGGCATTCTTTGATGAGTAGAATGGTCATCTGAGGAGCCGCTCCTCCAATCACAACTGGTGGTGCTGCTGCTGCTGATAGGCTCACAGTAAGCCTATAAGCAGTAAACACAGGCGAGACGCAGCCTGTGACTGAAGGAGCATTGAGCAAGCTAAGTAGGAAAGACAGAAATGCAACCACAAATTAATCTGTAATCCCATAGCGTACCTCAGATGTGAACAAGATGTTAAAAAAAGATGTACCTTGGTGAGAGACATGTTTGCATTTTTCTACTTATATAGAAACAGGGTTCAAAAGGGAACTTCAACCGTTTTGTGAATATACGCATGTGCACGTGTGTTTGTGTGCGTGCGCATGTGTGCTGCAGATAAAGGACTCTGTTGCTCTGACTGCTGGGAGCATTAATAAAACTCACTCAAGAGTTAACTCAAGAAAGCTGGGTTAAATCATCTTTTAAACGAAAGATTCTTTTGGTCTGGATGCAAGATGTTCTTAAAGAAAGGGTTTTTTTTTAAACTGACCATGTTGTGACAAACAAAGGGTCATTTTGAATGAGGGTTAATAAAGAAGGGGAGCCAGCTTATTGCTCTTCGCCTGGGAGCTTTGCAATTTGGGGTATGCCATTAAGAACTGTAACAAATTAGGGAACGTCAACCTGAAATGGTCGTAACACTTTTACCAATTTAAATAATGATTTTTAAAGAAGAAATTAATGCTTTATGTCCTCAAGTACATTGTGTGGGGGAGGTTGCTAATTATTGAGGATATTGATGAATTCTAAATCTACCTCTGTGAGAGTCCAAATACCCCAAAAGGCAATAGACAATATTGTTATTATGCAATTATTACACCAGGAAAATGAGATAATGAGCACAAAAAAGGAGCTCATGAAAACCAAAACATAAGCACCAGGAGCAGGAGTAAGCCATCAGACTCTGAAAACCAAAAATCAAAAAGAAATCCTAGACAAAATTTCAAGGAGAACACTTGATTTTTTTTTGCTCTGTTCACAGTCCAAAATTAGCAACCAACTCAAACACAAACTGAGATTAAGTGTTCTAAGATTAAATATTAAATAATCATATTCTTACCCTCCCATTCAGAAGGGATGTTTCCAACTTCATATTCAATTTCTTTTGGATTGACTGCTTCGATCATTCTTTTTGAACGAATAGTCTGTCCTAGAATGAAGAACAAATGATCAGCTGTCAGACTGCTCATTTGATAGCTGCATGGGATGAGCAGAAATTTCATACAGTCATACTGCATTGAATTTGGCCCTTTGGCCCACCATGTCTATGCCAATCTACAAACACCAAACTACACTAATTCCTTTTAACTACACTTGGTCCACAGGTTATTATACCCCTGCATTTTAAGTACTCATCCAGACGCTTCTTGCACGTTGTAAAAAGTACCTATCTTCACCACCCTCTCAGGCAGCACACACTCCATATGTCTACCACCCTCTGGGTGAATTTTTTTTCTCAGATCTCCTCTAAACCACTTGCTCCTCAAATTAAATGTACGCCCTCTGGTCTTAGACACGTCTGCCATGGGAGACAGATTCTCACTATCTATGCTGTGTATACCTCTCATATTTTGTAAACATCAATCAGGTTCCCCCCTCAGCCTCCTCTGCTCTAAGGAAAACAAATCCCACTAATCCAGTCTCTCTTCATAAGTGAGACTTTTCATCCCAGGCAACATTCTGGTGAAATTTCCTTCAATTGAATATCTAGAAGACCAAAACCTGCTCCCAACTCCATTCCCTAGCCACTGACTCCAACCCTATCTCAAGTAAATAGTCTGAGATTAAGCCAGTCTGTTTCCAAAATTAGTGTTATATTTGACCTCCAGATGAGCTTCTGCTCTCACATTCACACCATCAGCAACAATGCCGGACTTCACCTGTCTCAGGTCATCTGCTGCTAACATCCTCACTCATGCCTCTTAACTCTAGACTGGACTATTTCAGTAATTTTTCCACAAAAAGAGACTCCTTGTTGGTCTCCCACATTCCACTCTCCGTAAAGGTGAGATCATCCAAAATCCTGCTCCTGAAACTTAACTCACACCAAGCCTCGTCTAATTATCACTCGTGCTCACTGACCTATACTAGCTCATGATGAAGCAATGTTGTGATTTTAAAAGTCTCATCTCGGTTTTCAACTCCATCTATGGCCTCACCTTTCCCTACTTCCATAATCTCCTCAAGCCCTGGAAAACTTTGCTCATCTAATTCTAGGTTGATAAACAACATATTTTAATGAAATACCATTGGCTTCTGCACCTCTGTTACCTAGTCTAAGCTCTCGACATCTCACAGTTTCTCTACTTTGTGTTCCTCTTGAAAGGGACTCCTTAAACCTGCCTGTTTTATCAAACTTTGGTCACCTGGCCTAGTATGGTTGGGAACATGGGACTGGGATATCATAGCTATTACAGAAATGTGGCTTAGGGATAGTCAGGACTGGCAGCATAATGTTATAGGAAGGACAGAAAGGGAGGGAAGTAGTATTTTTAGACAGGGATAATATTACGGCTCTAAGGAGGAAGGCCATTCCTTGGAGATTGTCCAGTGAAGTTATATGGATGGAAGTGAAAAATAAGAAAGAAATGATCACCTTGTTGGGATTGTATTATAGGCTCCCCAATAGTCAGTGGGAAATTAAAGAAATAAATTTGTAAGGACGTCTCATTTATCTGCAAGAATAATAGGGTGTTAATGGTAGGGGATTTTAACTTTCCAAACATAGACTGGGACTGCCATACTGTTAAGGGCTTGGATAGAGAGGAATTTGTTATGTCCAAGAAAATTTTCTGATTCAGTATGTGGATGTAACAACAAGTGATGTTGCAAAGTTTGACCTTCTCTCGGGAAATAAGGCAGAGCAGGTGACTGAGGTGTCAGTGGGGGAGCACTTTGGGACCAGTGATCATAATTCTATTAGTTTTAAGAAAGCGATGGAAAAGGATAGACCGGATCGAAAAGTTAAAGTTCTGAATTGAAGGAAGGCCAATTTTGACCGTATTAGGCAAGAACTTTCAAAAGTTGATCGGGGGTGGATGTGCGCAGGTAAAGGCTTGGCTAGAAAATGGGAAGCCTTCAAAAATGAGATAACAAGAATCCAGAGACAGTATGCTCCTGTTAGGGTGAAGGACAAGGCTGGTAGGTGTAGGGAAAGCTGGATGATGAGAGAAATTGAGGTTTTGTTCAAAAATAAGAAGGAAACATTTGTCAGATATAGACAGCAGAGCTCGAGTGAATTCTTAGAAGAGTATAAGGGCAGTAGAAGTATACTGAAGAGGGAAATCAGGAGGGCAAAAAAGGGACATGAGATAGCTTTGGTAAATAATGTCTTTGTAGAATCTATTTGGATTCTCCTTAACCCTAAAGACAAAAGAGTAACAAGGGAGAGAATAGGGCTCCTTAAAGGTTAGCAAGGCCACCTATGTGTGGAACTGCAGCAGATGGGGGATGATGTTAAAACAAGTATTTTGCATCAGTGTTTACTGTGGAGAAGGATATGGAAGATACACAACGAGGGGAAACAAATAGCAATGTCTTGAAAAATGTCCATATCACAGAGGAGGCGGTGCTGGACATCTTAAAATGTGTAACGGTGGATAAGTCCCCAGGACCTGATTGGTGGGAAGCTAGGGCCCCGTGCCAAGATATCTGTATCATGGCTAGTCACAGGCTAGGTGCCAGAAGACTGGAGGTTGGCTAACGTGGTGCCACTATATATCACATGGAGGTGGGCAAGTTGTTGGAGGGAATCCTGAAGGACAGAATTTACATTTGGAAAGGTAAGGACTGTTTAGGGATAGTCAACATGGCTTTGTGCATGGGAAATAGTCTCTCACTAACTTGATTGTGTTTTTTTGAAGAAGTAACGAAGGGCTTTATGAGGGTAGAGCAATGACTGTGATCTAGATGGACTTCAGTAAGGCGTTTGACAAGGTTCCGCATGGTACACTGGTTCGTAAGGTTAGATCACATAGAATACAGGGAGAACTAGCCATTTGGATATAGAACTGACTCGAAGATAGAAGACAAAGGTTGGTGGTGTTGTGGGTTGCTTTTCAGACTGGAGTCCTGTGACCAGCAGTGTGCCACAAGACTCTGTGCTGGGTCCATAGCTTTTAGTCATTTATATAAATGACTTGGATGTGAACATGGGAGGTATGGTTAAAAAGTTTGCAGATGACACTAAAATTGTAGGTGTATAGGACAGTGAAGAAGGTTACCTCAGAGTACACCAGGATCTTGATTAGATGGGCCAAAGGGTCAAGGAGTGGCAGATGGAGTTTGATTTAGATAAACGTGAGATGCTGCATTTTGGAAGTGCATATAAGGGCAGCACTTATACACTTAACGGTAAGGTCCTAGGGACGGTTGCTGAGCAAAGAGACCTTGGAGTGCACGTCCATCGTTCCTTGAAAACGGAGTTGCAGATAGACAAGATAGTGAAGATGGTGTTTGATATGCTTGCCTTTATTGTTCAGTGCATTGAGTACAGGAATGGAAAGTCATGTTGCAGCTGTATAGGACATTGGTTAGGCTACTTTCAGAATACTGCACACAATTCTGGTCACCCTTCTATAGAAAGGATGTTGTAAAACTTGAGGGGTTCAGAAAAGATTTACAAGGATGTTGCTGGGATTGCAAAGCTTTAAGTTATAGGGAGAGGCTGAATGGGCGGAGGCTTTTTCTTCCCAGAGTGTTAGAGGCTGAGGGTTGACCTTACAGAGGTTTACAAAATCATGAGGGGCATGGATATGGTGAATAGCAAAGGTCTTTTTCCTAGGGTGGGGGAGTGCTGAACTAGAGTGCATAGGTTTAAGGTGAGAGGGGAAAGAATTAAGCTTTTTCACACAGGAGGGTGGTGAGTGTATGGAATAAACTGCCAGAGGAAGTGGTGGAGGCTGGTTACAATTACATTTAAAGGGCATCTGGATGGGTATATGAATCAGGAGGGTTTAGAGGGATATCGGCCAAATGCTGATAAATGGGACTAGGTCAGATTGTGATATCTGGTCGGCGCGGACTAGTTGGACCAAAGGGTCTGTTTCCACACTGCATGATTCTATGACTATATAGTAGCATCTTACGTGGCTCAGCATCTTACTTTGTTTTATAATACTTTTGTGAACTATTTTTGCATCTGTTATTGTGTTACAGGCATTATAGAGTTACTGCTGTGAATGATAACAACTTGAAAAGCTAAATTAAACGATTATTTTTCCAAACACATTCCAATATTCCCAACAGTAATGCCTAGTTCATGGTTAAATGCAAAGCTCGTTAGTATAACAGCGTAATTTGTTATCGTGTTGATCACTTTGTTCATTTGTTATCGTGTGGACCTACGCGCGTAGGTTTGACATTCAATGAAGTTCTGCCGAAGCTGAAATGCAACAGCAAGTGGCTTATCACTGTAAATAATTTTTAAAAATTCAGGTAAACTTTTAAACAGTAATGAACACCAAGAAAGAATCAAAATTCCAGCGTCATCTCAAGTTTTAGATGGCGCTTCTTTGGCCTCAATCCTACAATTTAAGACGATATTTGAACATTTTGGTTAAAAGTTCTTACTTCCAAGCTAATTACAATGATATCTTTCTGCATAACTATTGCAAGTTTCAATGACACTATACTTTAAATTCCAAACACAATCCAACACAATTGTAAATTCTCAAGTCATTATTGATACTGATCAATCTAGACATTGGGTAGAATTGAACCTTGCGATGGGGGTCCCGCTCACTGGCTAGAGAAATAGTGTCAGCCCCATGTTGACTCCGTTGATGAAGGCCCACTAGATTTAAGTGTCCACTAGGCACCCAGCTGGCCAGTGATGGGCCTCCCCTGGGATTTTAGACTTCAGGGGCAGAAATCTCACCACTAAGAGATGCTGATTATTCAGATGTCAGTAGTTCCCAACTGCTCATCAGCATCACCAGAGTTGTGGCAGCTGCCAAATACTATACCTGCTAAAGGCCTACGATCGTCAAGTAACCCAGGCCACAGGTAATGGCAAATGGGGGTTTTGTGGGAGATGCCTGCTAGCCTTTTTCCGCTGGGGCAGAGGGAGGTCAGAAAAAATGAGGTGTGTGACTGTCAGCAGGCTCCCCATGTTTAAATGGTTACCCAACCAAATACTTAGTTGTGCAT